CCTTCTTTTCTGTTTCTCCTTCTCTTTCATCTTCTCCTCCTCCTGCTTCTTCTTCTCCTTCCCCTGCTTCAACTTCTCCTCCTTCTACTTCCCCTCATTCAACTTCTTCTTCTCCTTCTCCTTTCACTTCCCCTCCTCCTCCTTCTTCTTCTTCTCCTTATCTACCTCCTCCTCCTCCTTCTTCTACTTCTACTTCTACTTCTACTTTTCCTTCTCCTTCTCCTTCTCCTTCTTCTTCTTCTTCTTCTTCTTCTTCTTCTTCTTCTTCTTCTTCTTCTTCTTCTCCTTCTTCTTCTTCTTCTCCTTCTTCTTCTTCTTCTTCTTCTTCTTCTTCTTCTTCTTCTTCTTCTTCTCCTCCTCCTCCTCCTCCTCCTCCTCCTCCTCCTCCTCCTCCTCCTCTTCCTCTTTCTCCCTCTCCTACTCCTCCCTCCTATTCTCCCTTTTTCTACTTCTTTCTTATCCTCCTCCCACTCATCTCCTACTTTCCTCTTCTTTCTTCCTCCCCTTCCCCTGCTCCTCTCCTCCACTTCCCCTTCTATTCCTCTTTATCTTGCTCTCCTCTTCTCATCCTTCCACACACAGATACAGGCACAGACACTGACTCAGACACAGACACAGACACAGACTCAGACAGACAGGTGGGTCTCAAACAGCTGGAATTCTGAGGCACATACACAGGCACAGACATAGACACAGATAGACAGATAGACAGACAAACACCTGGAATTCTGAGGCAGGAAACCTTAAGGCACAACAATGCTAGGGACAGGTGAGGGCTATCAGAGGAAACAAAAGATGCATGTTTGTAGATATACTATATGTCTTTAGTCTACCCACGTAAGTATTAATGTACGTTTTCTATAATGATGTACATTTTCTATAATAGTATACATTTTCTATGTTCATGTACATTTTCTGCATTAATATACGGTCTCTATATTACTGTTCGTTTTTATATCAATGTACGTTTTCTATATTAACCCAATGCTGCCGGGGAAAATGAATTTAAAAAAATGGAGAAAATGCTGTGTGCTCTTTTTTTTTTTTTTTGTGAAATGTCTCTGCACATAGATGGCTCTGTTAGTGCTTAGCCACAAAGGAGTCAATTAATAGACCTTGTGACCTTACTTTATTTCACCTTTCCTTGAATTGGCGGGAAAACTTTTTTTTTTTTTTAACTAATGCTTTTAGTGTTGATGATGTTGTTTTTATTATAAATATTATAATTACAATAATTTTATAAACATTAGTAACAGCAAAATAAGATAACGTAAAATATTTTCGTAAATCAATGAGACAGGCAGTACTCGTAATTGGGTCATTGATGGGTTAATGTACATTTTTTTATATTAATGTATATTTTCTAAAATAATGTTTGTTTTCTAGGTTATATTTTTTTCTATATGCATGTGTGTATTCAGTATTAATGTACGTTTTCTATATTACTGTACATTTTCTATATATGTTGACATAGACACAGATAGACAGATAGACAGACAAACACCTGGAATTCTGAGGCACATACACAGGCACAGACATAGACACAGATAGACAGATAGACAGACAAACACCTGGAATTCTGAGGCACATACACAGGCACAGACATAGACACAGATAGACAGATAGACAGACAAACACCTGGAATTCTGAGGCACATACACAGGCACAGACATAGACACAGATAGACAGATAGACAGACAAACACCTGGAATTCTGAGGCACATACACAGGCACAGACATAGACACAGATAGACAGATAGACAGACAAACACCTGGAATTCTGAGGCACATACACAGGCACAGACATAGACACAGATAGACAGATAGACAGACAAACACCTGGAATTCTGAGGCACATACACAGGCACAGACATAGACACAGATAGACAGATAGACAGACAAACACCTGGAATTCTGAGGCACATACACAGGCACAGACATAGACACAGATAGACAGATAGACAGACAAACACCTGGAATTCTGAGGCACATACACAGGCACAGACATAGACACAGATAGACAGATAGACAGACAAACACCTGGAATTCTGAGGCACATACACAGGCACAGACATAGACACAGATAGACAGATAGACAGACAAACACCTGGAATTCTGAGGCACATACACAGGCACAGACATAGACACAGATAGACAGATAGACAGACAAACACCTGGAATTCTGAGGCACATACACAGGCACAGACATAGACACAGATAGACAGATAGACAGACAAACACCTGGAATTCTGAGGCACATACACAGGCACAGACATAGACACAGATAGACAGATAGACAGACAAACACCTGGAATTCTGAGGCACATACACAGGCACAGACATAGACACAGATAGACAGATAGACAGACAAACACCTGGAATTCTGAGGCACATACACAGGCACAGACATAGACACAGATAGACAGATAGACAGACAAACACCTGGAATTCTGAGGCACATACACAGGCACAGACATAGACACAGATAGACAGATAGACAGACAAACACCTGGAATTCTGAGGCACATACACAGGCACAGACATAGACACAGATAGACAGATAGACAGACAAACACCTGGAATTCTGAGGCACATACACAGGCACAGACATAGACACAGATAGACAGATAGACAGACAAACACCTGGAATTCTGAGGCACATACACAGGCACAGACATAGACACAGATAGACAGATAGACAGACAAACACCTGGAATTCTGAGGCACATACACAGGCACAGACATAGACACAGATAGACAGATAGACAGACAAACACCTGGAATTCTGAGGCAGGAAACCTTAAGGCACAACAATGCTAGGGACAGGTGAGGGCTATCAGAGGAAACAAAAGATGCATGTTTGTAGATATACTATATGTCTTTAGTCTACCCACGTAAGTATTAATGTACGTTTTCTATACCTTAACCCAATGGTGCCGGGGAAAATGAACAAAAAATGGGGAAAATATTGTGCCCACTTTCTATGTTTTTCGTGAAATGTCTGCCGATAGATGGCTCTGGTAGCACCTGATTTAAATGGCGGGAAAAACGTATTTTTCACTAGCGCTATGAAAATCGATGGTGTTATTTTTATCATAAACATTATAATTTTTATATATTTTTTTAACATTAGTAACAGCAAAATAAGATTACGTAAAATATTTTGTAAATCAAAGAAAAGGGGTAAACGGGCGAGACGGGCGGTGCTCGTAACTGGCTCATTGGGGAGTTAGTACAAGTGTTGCCATCTATGCGTAAAAACAATCAAACAAGTACTCACGGTGGGCATAGCACGTACGTACACGTCATACCCGGCACCAAGGGGTTAATGACTGTCATTTTTTCATCATAAGTATGATTATTGTTGTTGTTGTCAATATAATTCCCTGTTATCACACACATACAAGGCAGAGAAGGAGAAGAAGGAGAAAGAGTAGGAACAGAGAAAAGAGGGAAAAGAAGGAGGTGGAGACAAGGAGAAAGAAAATAAAAAGGGGCGGGGGGAAGAAAACGAGAAAAGAGAATAGAAGACAGAAAGGCCATAATGAAATAGAGAGGAAAGAAAATCAATTTATATAAGGGAAATCACCTTGCTTAAAGTGTAGCAAACAATTACATCATCATCTTCATTTTATTGAATAAACTGCATACACCCATGTACTGTAACACAATCCTATATGATAAACCTGATATACATATACATCCACTTACAGGTTCAAGGTGTACCAACAGTTATACAAACATGTGTGCATATAAGCCCCAAATTATGGGTATATATATATGTGGGATTAACAATTTAAAATATTCAAAGCAACAAAAAAGATACTTGAATCCTTTCTGCTAACAGCATAGCCCAATAAACACCTTTTTGAATTTCTTATCACAATTCAAAGATTTAATTATGCTGTCCTTCAGAGTAACACTTTAATATACCTTGCTGGACAGAGTAAAGCTATATATATATATATATATATTTTTTTATATCACTGTTAACAAAATAACAATGATGGAACACATTTCTCTTCTTTTTGAATCACAGTTTATAATTCTCTTAATACAATTCTAATTTACTAAATCATACCCAGAAGGATAATTATCAAAAAATATAGTTATCAAAAAAAATAAAATCAATGCAAGATCATCTGGCAGATCAACAATTATTCAGTCTAATATCAAAAAGGTATCTCTTGATTTAAAAAGAAAAAGAAAAAAAAAAAAAAATTACAGATATCAAACATCACAAAGTCAGTGCATCAGCTGTAATATGTTAAATGCTATCATCATCTCGTAAGCAATTTCCCTTTTGACTTTCATTTCCAAAAGGTTTCTTTATCAATATGCAATTATTATCAAAAGATACTGATTTTTCAAAAAAATAATCCATCAAAAATAAAACTTCAATCTTACTCAATGATCAATAGCACCATTACCATATTTGGAATATGATTTCAAAATCGGTTATCATTAAGCCTTCACCCAAAGAAATGAATGACCACCACCGCTGCGACAATCTCTGCGAAAAAGCACGGAACGGCTTCCTCCTCCTTCACTCTTGGAACGATGCCATCATTGGGTCGTCAATGAGCTTGCTGTGCACTGACCACAAGTCCTAGAAATGAGAGAGACGGGTCAGTTTTTACGATAACGTTGTTTTTCCACTCACTCATTCAATCCTCCTGTCACTTGTACATACACACGCATATGTGCCAATAGACACGCACACATGCATACACACACAAATATATACAAGGTGTACACAAAGGAAAAAGTGTATTCACTCCTATGGATACTTATAAATGAAATGAGTCTCAGTAGTGAAACTGACATGCATTTAGTGCACCTAATGCAATAAATGGCAGTTTTGGGGAAAATTAGTAATAAAATCAGTAACCATATTGTCCCCAGTATATGGTGATCTTAAAAACTAATGTTATGCAAAGGGGGGTGCAAATGCAGATGAGGGAGGTGTATATACATATATTCTGTATTCTATATTCTATATCACACAACCACACACACACACACACACACACACACACACACACACACACACACACACCAACACACACACACACACACACACACACACACACACTCAACATGCACTCACATTCCTTAAGGGGGGGGGGGGGGACAATGATAGTGGGAACTTAACAAGTTTGGTGAAGCTTTCTGCAACATTAATAGAAATAGGCCTAAAAACAAGGGTAAAGCTTAGCTGCAATATGCATTTTATTTTGATCTTTTTATTTTTTTTTCAATTAGAGGACATGTGCACAGATTTTTGGTACAAATAATTTTTAGTTTTTAAGGTTAGTACTCGTACTGGTCACTCTAAGCTTCACATCAGATCTCAAGAGGTCAGAGAATTATACCTAAATTAATAATTTCTTTATAAAAGAATTAGTAAATAACAATCTAAATAACCTATTTTTACCAAACAATACCTTTAGATTAACTTTAGATTTCCAGCAAAGCTTCACTTTGACCAAAACTTTAAACATAGTAAGAAACAACAAAATTTCTAACATGTGTATTGGCATCAAAAATCTAGACCATGCAAAAACATTTAACCACAAATAAATAAAATCTCAGACTTAATTTCTTTTAGAACTAATATAATAATGAAAAAAAGTAGAAGGAAACAAAGAAAGAATACAACAAATTAAGAGAAAGTGAAAGAAAAATGAAAATGAAAAAAAAAAAAAAAAAATACAGATATCAAACATCACAAAGTCAGTGCATCAGCTGTAATATGTTAAATGCTATCATCATCTCGTAAGCAATTTCCCTTTTGACTTTCATTTCCAAAAGGTTTCTTTATCAATATGCGATTATTATCAAAAGATATTGATTTTTCAAAAAAATAATCCATCAAAAATAAAACTTCAATCTTACTCAATGATCAATAGCACCATTACCATATTTGGAATATGATTTCAAAATCGGTTATCATTAAGCCTTCACCCAAAGAAATGAATGACCACCACCGCTGCGACAATCTCTGCGAAAAAGCACGGAACGGCTTCCTCCTCCTTCACTCTTGGAACGATGCCATCATTGGGTCGTCAATGAGCTTGCTGTGCACTGACCACAAGTCCTAGAAATGAGAGAGACGGGTCAGTTTTTACGATTACGTTGTTTTTCCACTCACTCATTCAATCCTCCTGTCACTTGTACATACACACGCATATGTGCCAATAGACACGCACACATGCATACACACACAAATATATACAAGGTGTACACAAAGGAAAAGGTGTATTCACTCCTATGCATACTTATAAATGAAATGAGTCTCAGTAGTGAAATTGACATGCATTTAGTGCACCTAATGCAATAAATGGCAGTTTTTGGGAAAATTAGTAATAAAATCAGTAACCATATTGTCCCCAGTATATGGTGATCTTAAAAACTAATGTTATGCAAAGGGGGGTGCAAATGCAGATGAGGGAGGTGTATATACATATATTCTGTATTCTATATTCTATATCTCACACACACACACACACACACACACACACACACACACACACACACAACACACACACACACACACACACACACACACAAATATTCACACTCAAACATGCACTCACATTCCTTAAGGGGGGGGGGGGACAATGATAGTGGGAACTTAACAAGTTTGGTGAAGCTTTCTGCAACATTAATAGAAATAGGCCTAAAAACAAGGGTAAAGCTTAGCTGCAATAAGCATTTTATTTTGATCTTTTTATTTTTTTCAATTAGAGGACATGTTGTGCACAGATTTTTGGTACAAATAATTTTTAGTTTTTAAGGTTAGTACTCATACTGGTCACTCTAAGATTCGCATCAGATCTCAAGAGGTCAGAGAATTATACCTAAATTAATAATTTCTTTATAAAAGAATTAGTAAATAACAATCTAAATAACCTATTTTTACCAAACAATACCTTTAGATTAACTTTAGATTTCCAGCAAAGCTTCACTTTGACCAAAACTTTAAACATAGTAAGAAACAACAAAATTTCTAACATGTGTATTGGCATCAAAAATCTAGACCATGCAAAAACATTTAACCACAAATAAATAAAATCTCAGACTTAATTTCTTTTAGAACTAATATAATAATGAAAAAAAGTAGAAGGAAACAAAGAAAGAATACAACAAATTAAGAGAAAGTGAAAGAAAATGAAAATGAAAAAAAAAAAAAGTCATATTTCCTTCAATAACCATGTTATAATCATGTACTGTGATGGTTTAAACATTAACACTTAGAAAGTAATGCTACTGGCAGCTATTGAACTTTGAAAGCACTCTGCACCTATCAAGCTATATATATCTCTTGTGCCTATGAACTGCTCAACAAAGCTTCCAGTGTCATAAGTGTAGATAAGGTACGGGCGCAATTGCATAAACCCATAATGCACAATATGTAATTGATTCGCTGATGACCATACCTCGTAAGGATTGCCATGATTCTGAAGGAGATAAACTATCAGATAATGTTAACTGTACACCTTGCCTTGTGAAACTACTCATTCTCCTCATATCTCTTCTAGATTTGCCATAACGAATATTTAAGATGCTTTTGTTTTATGTAGCCATTAATACATGCCCTCTGTAATATTGGTTAGACCACGACTGCATTTTGCAAAACACTATCTCTAAAAGTGGTCCACAGAAATGAGAGGGGATACTACCACTCATGAAGTAAAGGAAATTGGACTCAAGTGATTATGAGTGGAGATATGGCAGGAATTTTAGGATTCTCATAAAAATGTAGATATTAATTGGCATTTGTATCAATGTCTTTTTAAGGAGACCAATAATTTTTCTTAATCTGGTCCTTTACATATATTCTCCCGACTTTATCTGGTTCTTCTTCAACCTAAATTACCATAAGGTCTCTATCAATAACTTTAAACACACCTAGGATGGTCATGTGGTCTACATATTACATGAAATTCTGCACAACCATGCAATACTAGCAAAAACAAAAAAATAATGCACACATCATTATATCATTAAGGAACTAACATCTCAGGGGTGGGACAAAGTATTTTCACCAAATCATTATGTTATTTGGGTAATTGTAACTATGTTAAATTATAACTGGGTGCAAATCATCTGCATATTAGTCATAATAACCCACTGCTTGCAACTGTGCATGTAATTATTGTTTTAGTAGTAAGAAATAAGTGCTTTGAACTTATGCAAATCATAATCATTATTACCATCAGTGCCATCATATTCAGTATGCAAATATACATACACATATGTTTACTGTTTATATATGTGTATTTATATATAAATATAAATACATACATACACACACAATATGTGTGTGTGTGTGTGTGTGTGTGTGTGTGTGTGTGTGTGTGTGTGTGTGTGTGTGTGTGTGTGTGTGTGTGTGTGTGTGTGTGTGTGTGTGTGTGTGTGTGTCACTGTCCTTAAAAGGATGCATTACAGTAGGGGTTGTTAACTGTTGCTATCCATTCCCCTTGGTGATATAGGAACCAAATGCTGGGGGCAAGGCCCTCAATCTCAGACTATTTTTATTCCTTTAAAGTATCAATTCATACTTTATTAGAATGTTACATTATCAATTAGTACAGTTACTCCATACTCTAAATCAGGACTGAAGTGCTATTGATATCTTTGGAATTTCGGACTGGCAACTGGCAACTAACGGGGCTGTGACCCTCTTGGGAAATACATGAGGAGTCTAGGATCATCCAAAAGGTCAAGAGACCCCTATACCAAAATATTAAGACTGGTATATCTTGATGTCCATTTCTTGCAGGCTACTGAACAAGTTTTTGACTAGGTTATGTTTTTTTCAGTGGTGTTAGAGTATACAGGAACAACAAAGACATTACCAATAATTTGTGAAACTGTTTGTATACTACAGCAGAGAGGGTCTCATGGAATCTATCTCTGTAAACAAACACCGACTGGGTGCTTTCCTTCTATTTGTTTTGCTCTTTTTTCACAAATTACTAATGGTGTAAGCATCTACATGTTCTGCATACAGCCATGCAACCATCACCTTATCAAAGTTCCTCCTCCATCAGGCATGAATGAGTATCATGAAGATTCTGTAAAAATGATTAGATTATTTGCTGAAAAAAGACAACAGCAAAGAGGAAGGCCTGTGTAGTTCTCATCACGTCGCTACTCTTCAGACAGTATGATGTAACAGGCAAGTAAGGCCAGACTGTTAATTAGCTTGGAAAGTGCAGATGCAAAACTGGTAATTCAAAGTCCTCATATGCATGGATTTGAATTACAGGAAGAAAAAACAGAGTAATTCAAAAGTAGGTGAATTTATAAAGATACTCAGCTCGAAAGTTCCTAAACTTTTCAATCTTAAGGAAACTGTGATGTAACAGCACCTACTGAGACAATGGTTCACATCATTTCTGGATATAGTAATGTGTCCAATAGTAGAAACCAAAAATTTTGCTCTAAAAATATACTATCCCATTGGGAAAAAAGGGACAAACGACATAATTCAAAGGTACACTTCAGTGTACTAACATAAATCATAAATCATTTCATCAATGTAGTAATGCTGCACAAATTAAAAAGCAAAGAATTTGGAATGCAAGACAGAGGTCAGGACAAGGGCATATTCATAAACAACTAGGAAAGTAATTGGTAGCCTGGTTACTGAACCTATCACACGAAGGTCTGCCATCAAAATGCTTAGATTGGTTGACCGAACATGTACTCTACTGTACAGAGTAACTTTTCTTGCCCCTGCTACAAAACTCCTTGGCAAGTGTGTACAATTACTGATTTGGAGTGCTTTGGCAGTAAAGCTTTAGTAAAGGGTAAGAAACTTTTAACTACTAAAATGTTACATTACAATTTTACTGGGATTCACAGAGATGAGCTCATAAGTTAATAAAGAATTGTGTGGGACACACACACACACATATATATGTATGTATGTGTGTGTGTGTGTGTGTGTGTGTGTGTGTCACTGTCCTTAAAAGGATGCATTACAGTAGGGGTTGTTAACTGTTGCTATCCATTCCCCTTGGTGATATAGGAACCAAATGCTGGGGGCAAGGCCCTCAATCTCAGACTATTTTTATTCCTTTAAAGTATCAATTCATACTTTATTAGAATGTTACATTATCAATTAGTACAGTTACTCCATACTCTAAATCAGGACTGAAGTGCTATTGATATCTTTGGAATTTCGGACTGGCAACTGGCAACTAACGGGGCTGTGACCCTCTTGGGAAATACATGAGGAGTCTAGGATCATCCAAAAGGTCAAGGGACCCCTATACCAAAATATAAGACTGGTATATCTTGATGTCCATTTCTTGCAGGCTACTGAACAAGTTTTTGACTAGGTTATGTTTTTTTCAGTGGTGTTAGAGTATACAGGAACAACAAAGACATTACCAATAATTTGTGAAACTGTTTGTATACTACAGCAGAGAGGGTCTCATGGAATCTATCTCTGTAAACAAACACCGACTGGGTGCTTTCCTTCTTTTTGTTTTGCTTTTTTTTCACAAATTACTAATGGTGTAAGCATCTACATGTTCTGCATACAGCCATGCAACCATCACCTTATCAAAGTTCCTCCTCCATCAGGCATGAATGAGTATCATGAAGATTCTGTAAAAATGATTAGATTATTTGCTGAAAAAAGACAACAGCAAAGAGGAAGGCCTGTGTAGTTCTCATCACGTCGCTACTCTTCAGACAGTATGATGTAACAGGCAAGTAAGGCCAGACTGTTAATTAGCTTGGAAAGTGCAGATGCAAAACTGGTAATTCAAAGTCCTCATATGCATGGATTTGAATTACAGGAAGAAAAACAGAGTAATTCAAAAGTAAGTGAATTTATAAAGATACTCAGCTCGAAAGTTCCTAAACTTTTCAATCTTAAGGAAACTGTGATGTAACAGCACCTACTGAGACAATGGTTCACATCATTTCTGGATATAGTAATGTGTCCAATAGTAGAAACCAAAAATTTTGCTCTAAAAATATACTATCCCATTGGGAAAAAAGGGACAAACGACATAATTCAAAGGTACACTTCAGTGTACTAACATAAATCATAAATCATTTCATCAATGTAGTAATGCTGCACAAATTAAAAAGCAAAGAATTTGGAATGCAAGACAGAGGTCAGGACAAGGGCATATTCATAAACAACTAGGAAAGTAATTGGTAGCCTGGTTACTGAACCTATCACACTAAGGTCTGCCATCAAAATGCTTAGATTGGTTGACGGAACATGTACTCTACTGCACAGAGTAACTTTTCTTGCCCCTGCTACAAAACTCCTTGGCAAGTGTGTACAATTACTGATTTGGAGTGCTTTGGCAGTAAAGCTTTAGTAAAGGGTAAGAAACTTTTAACTACTAAAATGTTACATTACAATTTTACTGGGATTCACAGAGATGAGCTCATAAGTTAATAAAGAATTGTGTGGGACACACACATCACACACACACACACACACACACACACACACACAACACACACACACACACACACAGACACACACACACACGCACATACACACACACACACACACACACACACACACACACACACACACACACACACACATGCACACACACACACACATGCACACACACACACACACACACATACGCACACACATACTCAAATACGCATGCACACACTCATATATGCACGCATGCATGTACGCACGTGTGCGTGTACACACACACACACACACACACACACACACACACACACACACACACACATATACTGGGTAGGTAAGTCACCTATTCCATTGCCACATGTAATGTGTGTCTCCCTGACCCAATATATTACAATTTGTGAAAGGACAGAGATGCTACAGCAGGCCCCACTTTTGTTTTTAATAATACAGGTATGAAATTTCCAAACGCAGACACTGAAATTTTTTTTTTTCATATATACATAATTTTTTTTTTCCTTAATTAGCTTTTGTTTGTTGTTGTTGATACCTTGTTTTGGTGCCCATTAAACGAGTCCTTTTCCTTTATGCAGTACTCCTTTTTACACCAATCGAGACCTTAAACGTTTAGTCATATCCAGAATGATACTGAACTCACAATCTAAATTTCAGAGACATTACTGGCTAGCAACTGTGGCTAAAATTTACAGCTTTTAGTCATAACCAATTTAAGCTTATTTTGTATAGGTTTACATGCATACTGCAGTATCTCTTTTCTGTTTATTTCCTGTACAAAGGGAATTAATGATCAAATATTCAGTAATCCTACAATCTAAAACTTTTCTTTTATTTTATTAGAGAGCCTGACAAAGAATGCAACATTTAATTCTGATAAACCTGCAATAAAAAAATGCTACACTTCCCTGACCCAAGACCAATCCCTTAGACAAATCAAAATCCTTTCATAAGAATGACTTCAGAGCAGACAAATGGAACAAATAGTAATTACTCTATGTACAGTACCTGAAACCAACAACTAATTACTATCACACCTTCCAAGATTACATAATGCCTTTGAGACGGAGAGTCCAGGGGCCTTACCTTAAAGTACTTGACTGTCTTGACCTTCAGCTCAAGAGTGGCATCCTCGTCGCACAGCATGAGGGTGCGGGGGTGTTGCTGGAATGCCGACACAGTCCACATGTGGTTGACCCCTTCTTCAATCGCCATGTGAAGGGCATAGGCCTTGTGTGATCCCGTGATAAGGATCATTACCTGCACGAGCATATGGGGAAGTCATGTTGATTTTATTTAAGTAAAATTGTGCACAGGGAAAAGGAAAGAATCCCAACTGTTAATGCCACCTAGTCCTTACCACTAACCTCCTTCAACTGGGTCAACTGGCCTGATAAAATTTCTTTCCTCTCATGGATGAAGAGTATGTGAAGTGCTCCATACAAATTTCTGATTTTGTCTGTGCCTCTATGGCAGACTGTGTGTATGCATTCATCAACCCAATGCCACCGGGATAATGCTGTGCTCATTTTAATTTTTTTTTGTGAAATGTCTCTACACACAGATGGCTCTGCTAATGCTTAGCCACAAAGGAGTCAATTAGTAAACCTTGTGACTTTACCTGATTTCACCTTTCCTTGAATTGGCAGGAGAAACATTTTATTATTTGCTAATGCAATGAATATCAATGGTATTATTTTTCTTATAGATATTATAATTACTATAATGTTATAAACATGACAGGCAGTACTCATAATTGGCTCACTGATGACTTAGTACAAGTGTAGCCAATAAAGTAAACTCACAGTGGGCATGATATCTCTATACATGCCATGCCCGATGCACTGGGTTAATGGATGATGAATCTAGTTACTGGATGGGCAAGCCATCCCATGTAAATAGAGAGGGTTGGTTTCAGGAAGGGAATCCATTCATGAAAAAATATCTGCCAGAACCAGGATATATAATGACCCCATCTAAGAACGGGACAAAGGTACAGCAACAGAAGTAATTAGTGGCTGATGAGTGATCAGGGTATCATTTCTCTTAAGATATTCATTAACTTTAATTCATTTCTTTTCTGTTCATGTTCTCTTTCACAAGAGTCAACTGCTGGTCTCCTGGCAGCCATTGCTGACCTTATCTGGTTCACCTTTAGTGTGCCTGCTGATGCAAAACTGGTAGATTTGTTGCAGGGTCTTTTATTCATTGTTAGCCTCCCAAGGTATCACACATCTCTGTATGAACAAGTATGACACGTGGAAAACGTGTATTTCTCTGTCAGATGATGTCTGATGCAGATATCTCCCTTCCTTCTATTTAGTGGTACTCCTCTTTTTTTCTTATGATCTAAATAACTGCCCCAGGCCAAGAAGAGGGAGACAGGACTGTTGGTAGGGGCTAGGGCTAGGTTCTTCTGTTTCCCAGAGACACAATAACCTGGATTACTCAGACTACATAATTTCTCACTCGCGTTGATTTTGGCCTGATGAAATGTTGATTTGATAAACTAAACTTTTGTGTTTGAGCTCACTGGAGAGAGAATCTGATATTTCAGTTCATCAAGCACCTGATAATGATAATGGAATGCTACAAAATATTAGACATTTAACCTCTGAGTAGCATGGATTACCACCAACCTCTCTGGCATCCATAACTGTCCCAACACCCACAGTAAGTGACTGCTTTGGAACTTTTGACATGTCATTGTTAAAGAAACGGGCATTGGCAGTGATGGTCTCCTGGTTGAGTGTCTTGACACGGGTTCGCGATACAAGGCTAGAGCCTGGCTCATTGAAAGCGATGTGGCCATCTGGACCAATACCTGAAATAATACATAAAAAATCAGAATATAAGTATTTACTCACATCTAGAGAAAATGTACACATTACTACAGTATGTTTTCAATCATCTTCTGCAAGGACTGAGTACATACCTCCCATAAATAACTCAATCCCACCGGCTTCCTTAATCTTCTTCTCGTACGACTGACATTCTTTCTCCAGGTCCTGTGCATTGCCGTCCAGAATGTGTGCATTAGCAGGGTCAATATCTATGTGCTTGAAGAGATTCTCCCACATGAAGGTGTGATAGCTCTGGGAGTGGTCCCTTGGGATACCTGGAATTGGGAGTTGCTGTTACAGCTGCATATGGAAGACAGATGGCAGATAATCTAAAAGGCAAGACGGTCTTTATAAGGAATATTCAGATCTACACTGACTTGAAAGTGAGCAACTCTGCACTTTTTAACCCATTGATCATGTCAAGGTAGGTTAAGTCACACGTCTGTATCAAGAGATTGTTGGAACTATCCAAGATCTACACAGATGATGGTGATGCTGATGTTATGAGTAATATAAGCGTACTCATAATACATCTCCTTGCACACTTAAAATAACAATGTTCAAGATTACCACTTTCATTCTTTTGCTGCTTTAAGATGTGTGAAGGAGAATGTCAATGAAATCCTAGGCCACAGTCAAAAGTCCTAAGACCTACCCTTTTGTGGTTACCTATGAACTCACATAGATAAAATAAAGTCTGAGGTATGTCCA